CAGGGAGGGAAGAAAAAAAGGGGAAAAAAAAAAAAAATTCAAAGGGAAAAAAAAAAAAAAAAAGACAGAAAATAAAACACTATGTAGGGGAAAACTAATCATATTAAAAAGGCAGGTTATAATACATTTCTCTTTCTAATCAGGCAGTGAGGCATAAACTGTTGGGACATACCGCTCGGGGCCACTGCTGTCTGGGACTGAAACACTGGCATTGTACTGCATTGGTCATTGGCGATCGTGGATGTTGGCATTGGGCATGGGCATTCAATCAGAAGATGTCAGGAAAAGTGCACGTTGGGCAACGAGCACATTTTTGGGCATAGCCAACCAGGGTTTTCACATGGGCGTTCAGGGGTAGATGGGCCATCATGATGGGCAACGCAGGGGCAAGACGATCCAGTACATGGGCAACGGAGATATGTGGCCAAAAAAACAAGGAGAGGGAAAAGGGGGGAAAAGCAATACATTTTAATTTAATACAAACTGGACTCAGTTGTCAATTAAACTTTATGGTACTAAGGCATACTGTAAATACAATAAATATGGAATGTATCTACTGTGACAGTACTTAAAAAGGCATTTAACGTCTATTGTAGATGCATCATATGTCTAGTTCAAATATAGCAGGCTGGCTCGTGAGTGTAGACACATACCCCTCAAACTTCGGACGAGGGATTCTTTAAGTTATGAATTTCTCCAAAAAGGAGGAGATTGTGATAATACCTGGCACATTTCTAATGTAAATAAGAAGCAGTTTATGTGACAAACATTACAACTGAAGCATGCAAGCTGAAATAGCCAGTGTAACATAAAACTACTCGGTCCTCAAGGAAGTTTACTTTGCAGCTGCATGGTAATGATGTAGAAAGATTAGTCATGTGTCTAATCACATGAGTCAACCTACTGAAATTCTCAACTTAAGCTAAAATGTGTGCAAAAAGTATAAAAATAATGTTTTTACATAGCAAATCTAGTCATACAAAACAAATACTAGTTCCGGAACACAAACTTTCTAAATATTATTTGCTTTTAACTAGTTTATAGTGCTGTAAGTTAGTATATCCTATGAAAAGAGAATATCAAAAGTGTTCCTATGGTGAAAATTGTCTGCATAGTGTGAAGGCTATTAAACATTCAGAACATTGTCATGGTATGTTGAAACACTCACGTCTGTCCGAAGTGCTTTAATGTTTTTTCCTCCTTTACCAATTACTGCTCCTGCATTCTGAAAGAGAAACCTTAGGTAAAATACAAAGCACGCGAAAAGAAAAATCATGCATCCTGTTCAATTCTACCCATAATCCCAGTTGCGTTTCTGTGCATGCAGCAAATCGCAAACATACTTTGCTTTGCAGCAGGATACGTAGTTCAACCATCATATCTGTATTTCTAGACCTCTTGAAAGCTTGTTCCTCTTCCATGTCTTCAGCTGGACGTTTACCTAAAAAATCAGAACAAAAAACAAAACTACACATTAATAAAAGTACAAGACGTACAGCAAAGTATTCAATCAAAATATAAAAACACATTAGTAAAAGTACAAAACAAGAAACTCAAAGTATTCAATCAAAATAGCAACTACGGCAAAACATTATTACATTTTGTAATGAATGCATTACAAAGCACCACACACCTCAGCCCTAAACAAAACATTAAAACCCCAATGCATCTTACCGTTTGTCTCTGTGTTTGTGAATTCAACCTCTTCCTGCTCTGTCTCCATCTTCCTTTAATAAACTTTTAAAGTGGTGGCAGCAATCTGTAAGGTACATTTGAAAAGAAATCATGGTTAATATCCACTGTCTGACACACATGTTGCAGTTCAAGAACACACTAAGAGCAAACTAACTTGCCCGACAAGGTTATAACACAAGAATATAGTGGGTGGGACTTCTAGATGACACTACAAAAGCTAGCCAACCTATGAAAACCTGCCTCCATTAAACCCTCTAATCTGTAACCTACCCATAACCTGAAACACACAAACAAAAACCCCACGCATGTTATGGTCAGAATGGTACTGTATGCCCTGTGCCTGCTAAACAAAAAAAACTGATATTAAAAATTAAACAGCACTTTACTCCCATCATGTAACTGGACAATCACCACCTGCCTCTGCAAATTCCATGGCAATTGAATTGAGGTGACCAAGTTACCAGTGTCTCTATAAATGCGATGGTGTGTGCGCCAGACAATTGGCACAGCTGCCTAGTGGTAAGCACTGCCTTGCAGCATTTGGGTCCCCTGTCCAAATCCCACCCAGGACATTATTGTATGCTCTCCCTGTCCGAATCCCATCCAGGACATTATTGTATGCTCTCCCTGTCCCAATCCCACCCAGGACACTATTGTATGCTCTCCCTGTCCCAATCCCACCCAGGACACTATTGTATGCTCTCCCTGTCCCAATCCCACCCAGGACACTATTGTATGCTCTCCCTGTCCCAATCCCACATAGGGCACTATTGCATGCTCTCCATGTCCAAATCCCACATAGGGCACTATTGCATGCTCTCCCTGTCCAAATCCCATTCCACCCAGGACACTATTGTATGCTCTCCCGGTGCCTGTGTGGGTTTCCTCATTTCCTACCACACACCAAAAGCACACAGGAAGGTTATTTGCCTTGTCTAAATTGACCCCAGTATGCATGCATGAGAGATTGGGGCCTTAGAGTGTAAGCTTCTTGAGGCAGGAACTGTAGTGTTGTTTAAACTGCCTGGGAAATATAAATGCTAACAATTATTAATTGATTAGCACCACGACAATTATTTGATTGTTACATTAAACATTTGTTTGTCTCTCCCCCCAACCAACCGATAATGAGAATAGTTGCTTAATATTCTCATAATTGCTTAGTTGTTGCAGCCCTACTTTCAGGACAGAATCACAGATTTTGGCATATAGAGGTATAGATCTGTTATGGTAAGAAAAAGCAACCATTAATTTCAATGCAGCTCATGGGAGCCATGGCTCATGCATTACCCAGCCAAGTAAACATCATCCTACAGGCTCTACAGTTATCTTTACACCAAACTTACAGAATACGAAGAACAAAAAGCGATGGGGAAACGGCCTTTATGTGGTCAGATCAACAGACGACGACAACACAGCCGGATAAAGGCAGTGATCACACGGCTCACCATAGGTTACAGCGGGCGCTGCGTATGGGGGAGGGGGGCCTGGCTGAACACAATAGGACGTGGAGCAACAGCAGGCTGCGCAGGTTTGTCACGATTCCCCGATCCTTCTTTGTCTGGCAAAGTACAAGCTCCAGGACACCGGCCACATTGGCCCCGCCCCTCTGCCGCAAGCTTCCGCCACCAGCCATTTTGTGACTGCGTGAAAGAAGACGGATAGACAGCATGGCGGCGGCAAGGCATACACAGAGCCCGCGAAACATCGAGCTCGGCTAGCACAGCTCACGCCCCGCTTTATAGTGCACCCACCGATATGTAATAGTCAAACACGTCCCCCATGTCTGACCAATACATGCCCTTCTGCTGTATTAGCCGCGTCATTGTGCGCTCGGCCGCTCCACTACACTCGCCAAAATTCTCGAGCTAGCTAACCGAAAAGGAACAACCTAACTCAGAAACTGGGACGGTGGGTTCATGGCTAGCGAAAAAACGCGCCTTTTACCGCAGAGCAGGCCTCAAAACCGCGCCTTTTACCTCATAACGTGACGGGTCTCACAGACAAAAGGCCGCCCGCTCCCGGGAATAGTGAACCCGTGACGCAGTCTAAAATACAAATAGCCCGGAAACCTTCTTCTGTACCCTCTCTAATAACCTTCACAAAGGCATAAGGGCCACGAAACGTCCGCATCCCCCCCCCGCTCGCTTACTCACCTCGCTACTTAGCCGTTCTCGAGCTCTCTCCACTAACGCGGCCAAAGCACAAGACGAAACCACACAGGGGCGCAACCTACAGAGCTAATAAGCGCCCGGCTCCCCTCGAGAGCCCTGATTGGCTTGACGGAAAAGGAAGGGGTCTGATTGGCCGAGCGAGAGGCCAATCAACTTAAACCACGCCCACCCACCCCGTCGGGGAATTGTGTGGCTCAAGTTAGGTTGAATGAAAAACCTGGCGGGGCGAGATGGATGAAAATGATTTTACGTTGCTGCGCTTCAAGATTCGTGTTATTACAACATTACGATATGAAAGGGGGGCGGCTTTTATATGAGTTGCGGAAACGTGTGAGGCAGAGTTGGGATGATTTATGAACATAGGCTAACATAAATATGTTTTAATGGAATGGTTATGTTGTACACTAAACGTTTACCGTGTATTCCAGTGGTAAAACAAGGCCGTTGCTAAAACAATAGAACGAATCGTGGTGGGGAGGGGAGTCCTGAAATCTCGCGATAAACGTGGTTTTGCCTCGCGCTCCAGACGTGTCTGCGCCAATCAGTGAGTGCCGACTAGCTGTTGGCGCCTCGTCTGAGCCAGCGGGTGAGTGTAGCGCGGGAGGCAGCTCGGACGAGAGCCCCTTATACTGAGTTACATACTAAAGGATTTTAATATGGCAATATGTAGAAATTGTTAGGAACAAGTGAAGAAGCGATTGCTCATTAATAAACCGGAAATGCCTTTGTCTTAACGCCATTCGCTCATGCATGCGAACAAGCAAATACAGATGGCGCTGAGATAGTGAGCAGGCACTGTTTACATGTGTGTGTCCCGTTGCGCCTGAGATTATGATTTGTCTTCGTCTGTGTGTGTGATCGAAAATAGATCTGTACCAAGGAAGCATGGGGGCTGCCATTTCTGGAAATATCCGTTCTTTGGCTGGCCCAAGCCATGACCCAGAACAAAGACCATAATTTCTTTACATGGTTCCTCTATTGATCTTTCACCATTGGTGAACGCAACCCAGCACTTCCTCCATTCTTGCCTAGGTGACAATGA